ATTCCTTTTGAAGGTGGTCTTCATTAGGGAATAATCCATAAAAATGTATGCATGAAGATACTTTCCCGATATACCTACCATAAAAGCAGTTCTGTCAACTGTATATCAAAACAGTAATCAAGGACCCTTGCTTCAGTAAGACCAGCCATTTGAGACTGATTTCTTGCCATGAGATACTGCAGCTCCAGTGCTGAGAAAGCTTTAGAAAAAAAATTTCTGAACCGATTCTTTGAGACTTATCTTGCAGTACAGCTTTCCCAGGAAGAGAAATTCCACCAGTGACAAAACCAGTTATATAGCCAAACTGCTCTGTAAGAAGTAGTTCGCCTTATGTTTAAAAATAAAATAAAAATCTCACCAGAAACAAAGTGCTGCATGCCATACAAAGACAGTGGACTTCTGTGATGGCATTATTTTGTGCAACTCTGTCTCTGCTTTTATTATCTGAAAAGTGTTCACGGAAAACAGAAGTCAATATGAACAAAAACCGGACCAGGTATGCAAGACTGTCATCTCTTCTGCAGCCCTGAGTTAGTGCTTGATGTAGAGAAATAAAAGCACTGGTTTGCCTTTGTATGGCAGGAGAATTACATTAATTTTAGGCAAAGGCCAAAGCCAGGAATGTCTCAAAAGGAATATATGGATTCTGGGTACACCATTCTTCCAAATTATCAGGTAACCTGAGGCTAAATGGTGCACCAAAACTTTTCATAGCCTTCTGTAAGGTCTAATGGGAAATTTTCCAAGCAGGAAAGAAAGATAGATTAGCTGACTTACCAGTAGTTTTACTGTTAAAACTGTTATTGTAAATGCCAGTAAAGCTGTTGGGAAGAGTCTGAAAGCATTTTTGAAGTCCTGTTGGAGTTGGCATGTAGTGTGATGTGAAACTCCTTCAATGACATTGCTCATTTTTACTGGGGTAACTCAAACCAGCAATAAACAGATAGAAAATATACCACTAATAATGAGTAAGACTGGGACAGGTTACCTATTGAACATCCAGCTAGGATCCTTGTATGATTATACAATTCTCAAAAAAAATTTTCTTGGTAGTGATGAATTCCAATGAAGATGAAGCTACAAAAGAGAAATTTGCCGGTAGTGGTAGTAGACATAAGTTCCAGAAAGCAAGTTACACTGAGGAATACATCAAAACTATACTGAGGGTACATCAAAAGGAAGACTTTGTTGGGTTAATTTGCCTAGAAAAGTGGTAATATTTCACTGCTCTCCCAAAAGACGGAGAAACAGTGTTCTCATTCAAAACAGATGAAATCAGGGAACCAAAGTATCTTTGTCTTTCTGAGAAGCAATACTGAAGTACATCACACATCTTTCTGAAGAATTGTATTTAAATAGTCCAATTGCCTATAGGGAAAGAGAAAAGAGGACTGCTTATGTCATCAATTCTGCACTAAAAATGAAGCCCAAAAATACCATAGGATGAATACAGTGAGAAGAAAGGGCATCTCTTACAGAAAACCTAGCCAAAGAACATCTTTTTGCACCTATCTTGTATACTTCCCTACAACTTGAGATTTACCAGACACCGATGTTTAAGAAAAGCCTGTTCATTGAACTATCTTAAAAATATGGTGCACTGTGGTGTAAGACAAAGCTTCAACTTCTAGCAGAGGAGAAGTGTTCCTACAGAGAAGGGCCTTGTTTGTAGTGAAGAGAACTGCAGGAGCAAAAGCAGCACCCCAGCTTGGAAGAGTATTGCCTATAAAGGCAATGTGATCAAAGCAGAAAGGGTCTTTTCCTTCCTTGCATTGTGACAGAGCTCCAGATGAAATCCTGATTGGAGTCAATGATCTGTTTCCAAAGGTACAAGAAAATGAGCAGTGGAAAAATATCCTGTTTTTTCTCAAGGCAATGCTCCTCATGCTGCACAAGGAATGTTCCTCTTCTGTGTTAACTCCATTTTGTTATTTCTAAGGTGGGGAAAAAAAATCTCTCCACATCCCTCCCATCTCTGCAGGCCATTTTCTTACATAGCAGCTAAAGGACTAGGGACAGAGTCACTTACAGACTCATGGATCATTAAGTTGGGCTGAGAATGTGCCAACATCTCCACTGAAGAGAGAAAGTTATTTTTGATCAGCCATTATTGGTGGTGCAACCAGAATACATGTGATACCAGTTGTGATCCAAAACTATATATGGAAAGACCATATAGTCCCCAAAAATCAGTGGAGTGCAGCAGCCCAAAGGAGCATGTGAATTTGGGTATATAATTAAAAAGCAAGAGGACTTGATATGTATCTGTTCTCCGAATCCGCACTTGAATTTCTGCAGCTCTCCAGCATCTGAATTTTTCACTTCAGACAACAGAAAACAAATTCTGCAATTAATTCTATCGTATATGGATGCCAAAACTCAATGAATGGAGCATATAAATTGGAATAAACTGGTGGGCTTTGTTCTGACTCTCTCCAGCCCTAAAACATCACCAATTATTTCTTGGCATTGCTACAGTTCTTTCCTCACCGATCACCCTGTTTGCCAAGCGAATTGCTGCCTCAACTGTGTTTTCTTCCACAACTTCATCGACCAAGCCCAGCTTCAGTGCTTCAGCTGCTGGAACGTGTCTTCCTGTGATAAAAAGAGAAATAAGGTGACTCGAGTGGGGCATGATGGGCAATTTCATTCTTTTCCATCTGATGGGCAATTTCATTCTTTTCCATCTGATGGGCAATTTCATTCTTTTCCATCTGATCAAATGACTTGTGTGTAGCTGGCTTAAATATGAGACATGCTCATTATCATGCATTACTAACTACATGCCCCTTTCTTAGCCCATTGTTAGTGGAAACAAGCTGAATTTCAACACAAGTAGCTACACAGGTAAAAAATTCATGTTTCTTAGACCAAGCTGGTGGTATGACTCAATGCCATGTTCTTACATACAGAGCAAAGCCAAGGGACAGTACTTCACCTGTAGTGATTATATCCAGAGCAGCCGGTACCCCAATCAGTCTGGGTAGTCGCTGAGTGCCTTCAGCACCTGGAAGTAACCCAATGGTGACCTCTGGTAAACCCATCCGTGCCTAAAACAGAGACAAATTCAACAACAAATCTTATTAGAAAGAGCGATAACTACAAACTGAGCAGAATAGAGAAAAGACAAGCAGACCTGATTCATGCATTGCTCCTCTCGGAAGCCTCAAAACTTCCACACAGAAACTTCATCCTTGCTTCTTGCCACGTAAGGCATTTAAGACAAAAATCCACTCAACCATTTCAAGATCTTGTGTACAAATGCACAGGAACAGCACCACTGTTCAGTGGATGTATGTGCGCTAGCACAGCACTGGAGGAGAGCTGTGGGGTCAACCAACCCTCCAGACTGACACATCCATAAACTAATACTTTTAAGCAGTTGTTAGCAAATGCTGGAGAGCACGGTGTGACTTAACTGTTACCTCCCTACTCTAATTCTTGGAAGTTTAGTAAAGGAAAATTGGTACTGAACCCTTCCCTAACCTTGGTGCAGTTGACATTTCGTAGGGTTATGGCAGAGAAGCCAGGGGCAGCAGGAAGGAGGGTCTTGTTCTCTCTTAAAAATCTATCTAGATTTTGTTGCCTTGTTTAAAAAAAAAAAAAAAAAAAAAATTACTTTGCACATTTCCCATTGAGCTCTTAAGAGATTTGGAGTCACTTTAAGACCACTACTTATGTCACCCACCTTAGGTGGCATATAGGGTGATGTAGAATACCTCTTTATGCTGTTACAGTGATCCACACTATCATGGATTCACACTGCAAAAGTGAGGGGATGGCCCTACCAGTGAAGAGTCTCTATAAGGAGACCTAATACTGCTAAAAGGTAGTTCAGCATTCCTGAATCTTGAAGGAGGGGATTCAAGAAAAAAACCCAACGGATCATTCTTTAAAAGACTTAACGCTGTCTTTTGGTCAGAGTGCTCCTTGAGGACCCAGAGCTCAAACCATAAATGCTCCATGCTAGCAGAGTTCAACTACCTATTGCAACCAGGCCACTAGCAGAAAGAAATGCAAAATTCACAGGGCTGGGGGAAAAAAAACCCAAATAAGTAAGAGTCATGCTGCATGAGCCAGTAAGATACAGCCATCTACATCATAATATAGATAATGACTACTAAGACCTAGGGCAAATTAACACTTGGTTAGTGAAGCTTCTACGTAGCCATCTTATTCTACTAGTTACTAACCAATTTTATATTTAGAAATGACTTGAAATTACTTATTTAGTAACACTTACGAAGGCATGTCAAGGGTTGTGTTGTAAGTGAAGAATGTCTGAGCACACAGACTTGTATGGTGTAGCTATAAAGCCCCACTCCTCTGGGTAGATGACCCTGGGAAAGGCATACTGTTCTTCAGGAGCAGTGTCCCACCCTGTCTGTGGCTGTATGTATATAGCTCCCATTGCCTTCACCAGCCTTTCTAGTTTCCAGCATGTTTTACCTTCACATGTGCAATCCGATAGTGACAGCCAAGTGCCACCTCCAGGCCTCCTCCCAAGGCAACGCCTTCAATGGCAGCCACCACAGGCTTCTCACTCCTTTCTATGAGAGAGATGATGGGGCCCAAGACAGAACCACGTCTCGTTGGAGAAGAAAACCCTCGAATGTCAGCTCCTGAGTTAGCACAAAGAAATTAAGAGGAATTAGTGGGCAAGGCAGTGATTGGAATGATCCTTCCCTCTGTGCCATTGAATATATTTGCTCGCAGATGATCAAGTCCTTGCAGAGCATGCTGCTGGCAGGAAAGTGGTTAACAGGAATGAACCACTTTTGGGACCACCTTCAAGAAACCCTGGTTGCTTGAGCCTGTTCAGAGAGCTCAGGGGAAGGCTGAGTACAAAAATACATAGTAACTGTAATGATCATGCAGTTACTACAGAAATTTGCAGACATTCTTGGTATAATTAAAAAAAAGCTGAGTCTGGAATAGTTAAGTGCAATTTACTACTAAGAAGCAATGTAGAGCTCCACAGAAATTCTCTAGCTTCCCAGGTCTCTACAACTGGAGATCTGTTATTTGGTACTGCCCCACCCCAGGTATGTTCCATACACTGAAGCAGTTGATGGTCCAGAGATTTTAGACAAAGCTCTGGAGAGTAAGGAGGCACCAGTACATTAGGGAGATGAGCAGCTGTCCCCTATTTGAGCATGAACATACCAGCTTGTTTCTGGCCTGGACAGTCCAGCTTGTCATGTGCCCCATCTCAAATGTGGCACAGCAGAATAGAAAAAGCCCACTGTCTTGTGGCCATTTCCAGCAAAATCAGGACTTTTATCAGCAGTGTTATGAGACAGAGAATTTTCATGCAGTGGGTGGAGAGTGTTTCCTCTTTTTCTTGGGGTATGTTTGAAGAAGTGTCTTACCTGCACTGAATTTCCCATTTTCACCACAAATCATAACAGCCTTCACTGAAGGATCTGCATCGGCTCTCTTCAGTCCATCCTCTAATGCCTGGAGAACTGTCAAACTGAAATTAGAGATTTGCTGAGTGACAATCAACTACATTACCCTTCCAAGAGGTGTTATAAACATGAAGTGTCCCAGTGAAAATGAGCTGTATATCCAAGCAGGTCTCTCCCTTAGCCCGTCTTCTGCCAGAGCCTCTCCGGGTGAACCCTTTTGTTAGTCTCCCTCTTACTCAATGGCAAATGCCAAAATCCAACAAGCTTATGACTGCTGACCTCTCATTCACTTCCTGAAGAGTCGTCTTCTGGCTATGACATTGCTGTTTCCTAAGCAAGCAGCACAGGGAAATGTTCTTTTGAAAACGTCTTTATGAATTAAACATTCAGATTTTCAGGAAAACAGTTTAGCATAACTTAAAAGTAATTAATGCTAAACCACTGGCAATCTAAGAACTTTTAAAAAAGGAAAGGAGCTCCAGGGATAAAAAGCTATCTTTCAGACACCTGACACAGAGCTGGTGCTGTGCTGATGATTATAATGCTTTCACTTTACAAAGATCTGTATATAAGTCCAGACTTAAACGTGCGTGGGATCCTGTTGAAGGGAATTTGGGCCTACAATACTATATAGAATGTCTTATTTTGTGTCATCTGAACATATTTCCACAGACACAAGCAGTAAATGTAGCCAACAAAGAATTAACAAGGAACTTCAAAATGGAACAGTAAAAGTATAAATAGTATTTTTACAAATCGGATATCAAAAAAAAAAAAAAATCTGACCTGACTGTATACCCACTTCGCATTTGAAGCTTTTAGAAGCTAATTTATGGATATGTGTGTGTAGATGAACATGGAGAGTCCAGTTTGTTTTAGGAGGCAGTGGCAATAAAGATGATAGTAGGTAAAAATAGAAGCATTAAGGCCTAACACTTTATTAATAGAAATATTAACACAAATGGTGTGTATATATAAAATAGATACTAAAATATATTCATATACACACACTTGTAAGTATATACATAGTTTGTGAGAGAGGCTTTTCTGTGTGCATATGTGTATGTACGCTACATACGTAAATATGCCTCTGATTCAGAAAACCTGAGCCACCAGCAGCTGGAGGAATACTCAAAGAAGTATCATACGTGCTCGCCTCATCCTTTCTACATACAGCTTCTGTTTGTGGACCTTCTCCAAACCGTAAGCCCAGCTTTACATGTAAGCTTGGTGGCTGATGCCCAGTGGAGAGGAGGAGTGTGAATTAGAAAGATCTGATAGAAAGACCTAATACCTACTCAGTTTGTGCATGTTTTTCAATATATTTCAGGGCATTTCATCTAAAAAGGAAGGTTGTAGATGAAAAATATATCACTGTACTCATGTGTAACACTTCTAAGTGTGTCCAGGGTGGGTGATCACATGTTTATATAAGGCAACAGCTTGCAGCATTGAAGTGGAAATCCATAGATTGAAAAGGAAAACCTGGGGAGCCCAAGAAGTTTCCTGCAAGCCAGTTGTGTCCTGCCAGCCAACCTCTGCACATTTCTCCGTCAAAGTCAAAAATTAAGAGAAGCTATCAGCAAAGTCTATTAATCAGGGCTGTTGGCTGAGGGGGGTCTCTGGGATCAGCTGCTGCCTGGGTAAGGCCATGCTATGCCAAAGGATCAGTGGGAGCCCTGAGACCTGGCAGCCAGAGACCAAGAGGAGTGTTATTTTTGGAGAGAGAACAGCCAGTTATGTACCAATTGCCTCATCCAGACATCAAAGACAGCTCTGAAGTCTGACATTAGTAATGGTTCTGAAAGCTGAAACTTTAAATGAGAATAATTTGGCTGTGACAAAGAAAAGCTATCAGGTGACTCTGTAAAGGTCCTTCCAGTGCATATAGTTCCGCGTAGCAGAATATGAAAGCCTTTCCAATTTTAATAAATGGTTCCATATTCTGTGGGGAAAAATGCATATCATTTTGTTTTTCATCTTGCTCCCTTCGGAAAGTCAAGTGCTGTGGCTGCTGCTATTTGAGGAGGACCCACAGGCTGCACCCAACGCTTGCTGCTCTTAGAGGTCTCTTTTTGCATCAGTGGAGAGCCGGGCCATAGAAATACCAAATTCACCTTGCGGCTGGAAGATTAAAGGGAAAACCATGATGAAATGTCATTACACTTCACAAACCATGGTGCAAAGAGGGGAAAAAAAATATGTACCAGGATTCCAAACAAATGTTAAATTACTGATTTGAAAATATTGTCTAGAAAAATGGCACAATTCTCTCAGAAACAGACAAGAAGCAATCGAAGCATTTCTGTGTCTGTTGCAGGCACATGATCAGCAAATGCAAAATGCCCATATTAAAGGTCTGTCTGCATTAAATGGAAAGGTTCAGGATTTTATGTAGGGAATTAGTTACAAGCGCTTACAACGACGTGCTCCTACCAGAAGAAAAATTAATCATCAAGGCTGCCACAAAATACCAGTTCAGTACCTACGTGACATGTATTAAGCCAACAGAACTATTTTTGCCAGAGAATAACTTGACTGTGTACTCCCATAAATATTTCTTCTCCCTCCACAGAATTTTTTCCCAGTGGGAATTTTTTTGTGGGACAAAAAGGAAGAAACATCATGACTTTTTGCGGTTTCTTGTTCTCCTAAGATGGAGCAATACGTTTGCCTCAGGATATGTTATAGTCCAACACGCAGGCTGCATTGCTTTGTAACTTGCAAATTATAACTGGTACTAAAAGATGTAATTTTAGATGAAAGCATCGTAGTGAAATGTATGAAAGCAAAACTATAAAAATACTCAAGAGTATCACAACTTCAAACAGCTAGAGCATTAAAGAAACAAAAAGTCACCATAATTTGCATAAGTATTTCATTACTGTGACAGCGTCATTCATTTAACAGTAACAATGCAAAAATTCACTCTGTGCATTCCAATCAATGCTTAATCCCATGCTATGTAGTCAACTCCACGACATGTACTACTTTGACTGCAAGAAAAGTGATTCTGCCAAGACGACTGTGTCATGTGTGTCAGAAACACACTGCAAGTGCACCCCAGGTTAAGGGAATAGTCTTGTAGGTGACCACACCAGGTTATTTCTATTTTGCATAAAATTCATTGCAGTGATGATGTGCTGGATTTGTGACACGGTTTTATTATTTACCTTAATAATTTCAGGTTTTAGCTAGGCTTGTAAATGTGAACTTTCATTTAAAAAAAAAAAAGGTAATTTAAGGGAATCCTGAAAATTTACTTAGTCACCTTTAAAGCAGGGAGACTCGAATCTAACAGTAGCAAAGGCTATTTATGGAAAACATGCAGGTCTGGTCCTTTCCCCTTTTACTTGCCCCAACATCCACAATCACACACGTTTTTCTTAGCATCCCTTATACACCTGCTGTCTGTGAATTTGCCCAATCCCTCTCTGATTCTGCTGATCCCATCTGCCTCCACAGGCTCCTGTGGCAGCAAGCTCTGCATTATCTGTTTTAAAACAATCTCCTGCTAGTTTAATAGAATGCCCCTAGTTCAACTGTTGTAGGATTTGTCAAAGGGTTATGCCTTTGATTTATTTACTACTTTTATGATTTTGTAAACCTTGACCTTATTCTTGCATGGCCTTTTCCTCTCCAAACTGGTAACACTCAGCTTTTTCAGTCCGCTTTCTTAACGCAGTGCGCCGTCCCTTGGATTATTTTGGTTGACCCTTTCTAGATTGTTCCTATATGCTGTTGCAAACGCAAAATCCATCCTGATGGTACCCAATATTTTCTGGGCTTTTTGGGCTGCCCTGGCACATCAAGCTGACGATTTCACAGACCTTGCAAAGGTAAGGATTCCTTCTCTCAGCTGTATCTGCCAGTTTTGAGCTTGGCATCTGGTAAGCTTGTCCTGGGTTATATTTTTTATTAAAGAACTTTTATCTATTTTTTGTTAGCATGCCTTGATCCACTCTTTATATTTTTTTTAGTCTGAATTTCCAGTTTTCCTCTCTCCTGTTGTGTTTTATGGGTTTTCTTGTTCTCGTTTGAGTAAGCATTCCACTTCTTAAAAAAAAAAATAAAAATCAAACTTTTCCCTCAGTCATCTTAGCCTTCTCATCAAGCCATATAGGGCTTTTAGCCGATCACTTGCTGGCTGAACAGTTTACCTGGGCTTCTAAATAAACTTAACCCCCCCCCCCCAAAAAAAAAAATCCCAAACCCAAACAAGAGCAATCCAGCCTCCACCTTTGTTGCAAGCTTCTTGCCTTTTGGACAGCTTCTTACAATGTTTTTGTTTGAACTAATTGCTGGCTATTGACATAATTCCCTTCTTGAAATTGAGTACTGGTGTGCTGGATTTACCTGGTCTGCTCTCTCTTGCCTCAGTGTCAGATCCAGATGTGTAGTAGTTGCTGTTACACAGTAGCTAATACAGCTTGAACAGAGTTATGTACATAAATTACAGCCAAATCCAGAACAGCATCCTTTCTGTGGGGTTTTAGAATAGTTGTTTTAGGAAGCAGACACTTACTGCATCCCAGAATTTTCTCTCTGCTTCTCACCGTGATGTGGTGCTGATCCAGTCCAACACAGGTAATCACACTCTCCCATCATTGCTACCTATCTGAAGTTGCAGCTTCTCTAATCTCCTTTAAGGTTTTCTGACCGTTATGGTGATCAGGGGTCAGAAGGACAATCCTAGCAGCCAGAAAGCTTTTTCCAATCATGACTGTTACGCTGTTATACTTTATATAATCCCACATGTACACTCCCCTACCCCATGTCCTACTCTATCATCCCTGCAGCTTTTCTGCACTTGTCAGCTCAAATGTTGAAATCCTTTTCCAAATCCTTCTTAATTTTCAGTGCCAACTGCCTGCCTCTGCTCATGAGGTGTGTCTGGTCCTTTCTCTTGCAAGCCTTGTCCGTTCCCCAAAATTTCCCAGTTCTTTGCATATCTAAATCCCTTCTTTCTATGTCATGTCTCATAAATGCAGATCTCTGAATACTAAACTTCTTACAAGGAAGAAAACACCCAAACCCAAACAAATCAAAGTCGGCACATGCCACC